AAGCTACCTCCCAGGGTTATTGTGGTGAGGATGAAATGGAGCCGAGAGGAACCCCATAAGCCGCCTTGGGTTCCTTGCAGGAAAAAGACATGCAGGGTGTAAATGTCATGCAATAATTCCCACAACCTCAGCATATATTTATTGGTACCACGAGGACTCTGAATGAGAGGGAGCCCTGCTCAGGGATGCAAAACTGGCTTTATGTTCAGCCAGCTTCCTGGAATACCCGTGATTTTTCAGTGAGGAAGGTTCAATTCAGTGAGGAATGGGCTGTGCAGAGTTTTACAACGCATGTTGAAAAGCGAAAGAGAAAACAAGGCTGTGGAGCCAACGGGGAGAGAGTCAGGACTAAATGCAGGGATCTCACAGACTGCCGGTTCACCACGCCAGTGCTAGATGATATGTCCACCTACCCATCAGCAGGAAAATATATTACTTTCTATCTTCTCTATGCTGAAACAGATAAGAAATACATGAGGAGTACTGAAAAGTTGGGCTTTGCGAGTGAGCATTTTATGTAAGCTCATCGCTTGGGCCATGTTTGTATCAGTGAAAGCACAATGCTATGCTAGTCTAGTCCTGTAACTCCCCATGTTCCCCAACATGCGTAGGATTGCATGCGAAGGCTGCCCAGAACCCTCCAAACTCTGCGGGCAACAGGCATTCAGTGGAGGGCGAAAAGAGCACAGAGGTGAGGGCGCACTTGATCACCCACCAAAGCACGTAAGTGGCCCATCTCAGCTGCTTTCGTGTTTTGCCCCTGTTCACAAGGGGGAAGGGTTGAGACGCTGTGGGGAATCCTCATACACCTGTGGGACCTCACTCCTCCTCACTGCCTGGGACGCCGCCCCAGCACCACCCTTGAGGCCTCTGAGCTACCAGCAGCACAGAAGGAGCCATGCGGCTGTGCGGGGACAGAGAGGGTGCTCTGATCTAGAGGCCCAGCTCTGACCTGGGCTGTTTCCTCAAGGTTGGAGCTGGAGTTCTGAATTTTCCTGCAGCCAGCATCTAGCAACCATAAGATTGTACTGCAAGCAACTCTTCTCCCATAGAATTAAAAAGAAGAGGCTGCAGTGCCATCTATGATCTCCTGTGAAGATAGGCAAGACTGTGGCGGTACACTGCACACAGCTTAATTTCTGAAGGACGATGTTCTGGGTTCAGGCTTTCCTAAACTCATGTCTTCTACCTGGAGAGTAAGCCCTTGATAATGGTTATCCCTATGTGAGCCCACTCATCTGGAAGTGACAGAAATTAATTCAAAAGGTGCCTCCAGCCCTACAATTACCTTGCAACAGCAGGAACGGTTCCTACATGCCTGTCTTTGCGGTTTTCTTTAGAGCTATAGTAAATGCCCACAGAGGAGTGATGCCTCAGCCATGTGGAAAAGCCCTAGTGTAGAACCAACTAATAGCAGATCTGCGGGAACCACTTGTAATGGCTCAGCACTGGCAGGATTAGCAGCTGCCATTATTAAAGTGACTTGCCATTATTGTTAACAGTCCAGCAGCACAAACCTGAATGTATTTTTTCTCAGAGGTTCTACCAAATCCCACAGGCAGGGCCCAAGGATGAGGCCTGACTATGGACTGGAGATTCAGAAGGCGCATTGGCTGATGTGGCAACCCCATTACTAGGAGGTATGTGCATGGGTGGAGGGGGAGAATGAGGCTAAATTGTAGATTATGGATACAGTCAGTACACGTGTGGCATCATGGTTAGAGTGCTGGAATGGTTCTCAGGTGATTTGAGTTCTCATCCCCAGCCATGAAGTTCACTTTGGGCCAGCCAGGTATTCTCAATACTTGACTTCACAGTATTGTTGTAAGGATGGCATTGGATGTTATACAAACCACCTAAAGTTCTTTGCAGGAAAATGGTGAGATACAAATACAACCAATAAATCCAACAGTCTGTCCACCGGTAAACTCTCCTATACAGCCTCCTGTACAGGGCCAAAATCTGTTCAGGAGGTTGAAGGGATGCTCTGAGGCAGATCTGGACAGAAACATGTCCATCAATTGACAGTCTTATTGTTTAGCTCTTGTGAGATCTGCTGGAGAAAGTCAGAAGCAGTGATGGGTGCAGTTCGGGCAGTGAGCTGGGACCTCGTGCAGTTAATCTGGGCCCGGCTGTTTGTGAGACAGAGCTTTTACATGCTGCAGATGACACACAGGCCCGCATCCATGGCTGCAGCAGAATTACCTTAGGCGGCATCTGGTGACAAACTGATTCGCTTCCAGGTAAATATCTTCAAACTAGCCAGGAGAGGAAAATCAAAGACTAGTTTTGCAAAAGGGGAACAGAATCCTAATTCTTACATAGCAGTTAGGAAACCACCCTACAAGGGAGCAGCTTAGTTGTTTGTTAACAAAGTAATCCAGAAAAGACAAGGGGTCACGGCAGCTGAATCCATCTCTCTTGCATAGAAGTATGCAGATTAGGTCAACCAAGTTTTTGTCCTTATTGCACCCGAAAGCAACAAAACAGCAGCGAGGACATCTGCATGGCTGCCAGGTTTCTTAAGGGCTACCTGCATGTCTGCACCATGTAGGAGTTTCATCTCCAGAGCAGGTCTGCCCTGTTTGCATTTGGCAATGCACATAGTTTGTCACACAAATGGTATTTCAACTAATGGGCCTCTAGGTGTTTTTTTTTCTCTGAAGGAGGAACAGTAAAACAAGCAAAACTTGATGAAGCTCAGAACATCTCAGTGAGTGTTGTACCCTTTTTAAAAAGAGGGGTGACCAAAACCTTTCCAGATTGCTTATATAGCACAATAATGCTCATTGGTTATGCATTTCTAGACACATTTGTTTCATGGGATTCAGGAATCTACACACACACAAACATAGCGTCCACTGCAGAGATACTGCATTCCACAACTCTCCGTTTCCTGTTACTGGAAAAACATCATTCACTCCCCTTGCTACGGTGAGTGCTGCGTGCAATCTGGTTTTCCAAGTGCCAGAAATATCCAGTTTAGAGAACCTGTGGCAGGATAAGTGATGCACAGTGCAAGCCCCATTCATTCCCTCATCATCAATTTGAGAACATTAGGGTTTTTTTAAATCCCCTTTTGCTATAATTAGGCAGGAAAATGCATGCAGGGCTAGTTTGTGTGTTTGGCAAAATAACAAGAGTCTGCACTTCTTTCCACCCTTGCAGTGTTCCAGTTCCAGGAATTTCATTCTCCCACTTTTAATCTCTTGAGCATAGCCTGTGTTAAATGGTGGCCCACTAGGGCCAGAGCCCTGAATGTCTTATGTAAAGCTCCATATTTCTGGGAGGACATCTGCCCCCCTACCCTGCTATCCACAGGCACTAACTGAAACAAAGGCACAGGGTCCCAGTCACTGTAGCATGGGCTCGCCTTGCTTTTCTTTCTGCTGCCTGCCTTCAATCCTAACAAACAGGGGTGCTGTCAGGAGACAGTGACCTTGGATACAGGCTTTAGAGCAGATGCAAATCCACAAATGGAGATGTGTGCTTTTTTGTGTCCTGTGGAGCTCAGCCCCAGACCTTTGCTATGAGGAATCAGCCCATGGTTTGTATATCCAGAAACTGGCAGCTCACACCGTTTACAGTCCCCACTATTAGGATTATATTATGGCTCTACTTTTCCTTATCTCACTCCAATATTGTTTTATGTTAACTCTAACCCATGCATTTAAGTATCTTCCCCATTTGTAGCCCATTATAGCACTATCCTGCACACATTTACACAAAAGTCATTTTCACTGTATTCAGTGATGCTTACTCCACTAAGTATGGTTAGGATTGCAACATTAGCGGTTACTTCTTGGGCACCAGTCAAACCGTTTCTGTAGTTTGTCATTAAAATTCCAAAGTTGCCATTCATTGCTGTTGCTCTGGAATTCACAGAAAACATAAACAGATTGAGAGTTAAGTACAGCCTTTAGTAAACACACTAAATACCATTGGCAACAAGTACCAATTTGTACAGGAAGAATTATCTTCCTGGCCATATATCAGAAGCAGAATGTAAGTACTGCTACCAGTGTTCATTATTCTCCCCACTTTTCAAACATTTGCTGTTGATAGCGAAAGGAACTTTGCCTATGATCAGAAGTGTTTGGTTCTGAGGGTTGCCTTTATTAAAATAAATGTCTTTATTCCATTCAAGACAGAAGCACCACAGTCTGAGTTGCTTGAATTTTAAGAAAAGGTGAACAACCTTATGGTTAAATAAGAATCTTAGGGGCATAATCCTATGCAAGTTCAGGCAGAACAAAGTCCCTACAGTCACCCTAGTTCTAATGCCAGGAGTTGTTTCAACAGAAGAGTCATCCATGCATGGGACTGTTCCCTAAATAAACGAATATAGATATGAAAGCAAGGACCAACTCTTAAGAAACTCATTCTGGTTAATTCTCTTAATTTTATGGCTATGTTTTATAAAGAAAACACAGTATATTCATGTGGTTTGGGGCATGGTTAAATTTAACAGCTGCATTTTATAGCCCATGAAATGGAAGGCCCATTGGAAGTTATGAAGTCTGTCCCAGTGAAAACAAGGATGCCTTGGAAGGCGCAGGAGAGATGAATGCCCACCCTGTGCGCTAAGGAAAGTGCAGCCTGCGGGAACCCTGGCACTGACTTCTGCGGTCATCGCTATTTGCACTTCAGCTGCGTCGCCTTGCAGGGCTATTCCGGACCTGGCATTCCCGAGATGGGTTCGCCATCCCCACGAGCGCCTCGCCCAGCCAGCTGGGCGTTCTGCCAGTTCGCCAGCGCAAGGCGGGTCGGGACGGAGTGCGGGTTGTCTTTTCTTGAGCGCAGGGGGGCGCTCCTCCAGAAACACTGACTACAAGATCCAGAATGCTAAGCGACTCCTCTACCACTGGCGAAGAAGCCGAGGAAGGCGCGGCAGCATCTTTTCCCATTTTCAGAAACCGGGTCTTTTGAATGGTGCTGCACTTGGGAGCGAAGGACTCACGGTGAGTTTGGAGCTTTTGAATTTACCGATCTCGCACGCACGTTTTGTAATTTGGCGAGAGGAGCACGCCCTTCCCCCAATTCTGTTTCGAAACACGGGAACTGTCCAGCTTGGTATTATCAGCGACGATCTTTCCTGTTCTCTTTCTCTACTGGGGCTCAGTCCTTAAAAGGAGCGAGGAAGAAACCTTGCAGGAAACAAGATAACCTAAATACGGCGATTGTTTTGAGTTCAAGTTGTGACTCTTTCTGCTGCGGGAACTCCGCAGATGAATGAGGCGCATTGGAATTCACTCAGCTTTGGTTTCACGTCGCATTCGTGCGATCGGATAAGAGGCTCGGGAGGTACACAGGTCAGTCTTTGGCTTGGCTAGTTCATGCTTTTTGCTTGCAACTCAGCTACCTTGGCTCTGCTACGGAGAGGGGATTTAGGAACAAGTGAGCAACCCCGGTGGCCCATCTGAGTTGTTCCCTGTAACGTGCCATGTGCTATACTTGGGCATGGCCAGCCAGGAGAGGAACTGAGAAAGAATTTGCAGAAGTTTAAAGGCGGGTTGGCATCAAGAAGCATATTTTTGAGTTACCACATAGACGTTTAGTAACACTGTAGCAAGAGGATCCTTACGGTTCAGTCTGCTGAGAAGAAAGTCCCATTCAGTTGAACGTGGTGGACTCCCAAGTAAGTAAATCTAGGACTGCAGCCCTAAGGTTTCAAATGTATTCCCATAGTAGCCTGAGCCTAACCTTGTTTACTTAGAAGCAAGTCTTACAAAGTGGCTCTTTCTTTCAAGTAAATGGGTTTTGGGAGACTGTAGCTGTAATGTCAAATTAAAAGGCTGCAATGCTTGACTTATTTAAAAGAGAATGAAACATAAACCTCTCACTCAAACTCACTGATACTCACTTGAGAAAAAACAGTGCACAGAGTGGCTGTTGAGTTGCCCGAAGCTGTCCTTAATATACAGAAAGCACCCTTCCCCCTATAACCCTCTGTAGAAGTCTAACCTGGCCCTTCCTGGAGGGTGCCTGGGATCTTTAGCTGCTTTTCTGAGATCCCTTGTATGTGATACAGTGCTCAGTTTGGTCAGTACAAGAAGCATATTACCACCAGGGGGATTTCCGTGTAGATTCATGAACCTTGCCTTCCAGTTGTGTTAAACTACAGTTCTCATCACCCCCATCAGCATTTACAAATATAGAGTCCCAATTTAAAAATAAACTCATCTTTTTAAGGGGAAAAATGCCATCATATGTTAGCCTTTATTTTAAAATTATGAGGTGTAGCTTTTAAAGCTAACTGGAATGTTATTGAACAAATGCTTGTAAGCCATCCTGAAATGCTGTTGTGAAGGACAGGATACAAATGTTTTAAATACATGAATAATGCAAGCTTTCTTGAGCAAAAGCTTATTTTTCTACCGCTGTGCTACTGCACAACAAAGATTAGGTTAGTTGAGTTTTTTTAAATAATTGTAATGCATTTTTATGACCAATTTCCTGTTTCTGCTCAGTAAGTAAAGGACTGTAGCTATTTTGAGCTAAAGAGATATAGCACTTTTGAACAGCAAAAATTCCATCAAATAATGCAAGGGTTTTCTAACTCTGGTTTTGATTTAAGGATCATAGGCAGAAAGCTAGTCAAAGAGTTATTCATTTCCATCTTGCTCAGAGCCTGCTGGCAAATTGTATGACTAATCTATTGTTATTTCATTATTTGACCAGAATTTTCTTTTGTCACTCTCTAAGTATTTATTGTTATTTTCACTCTCCAAGATATATGGAAAGTTATGGTCAAACTTCACATTAGAGCCTAACCTGAGACATCTGCAGGCTGGCTTCTCCCATGCTCTTTTGGAAAGAAATTTGTAAAGCAAGTTGTACATACGATACAGACTTCCCTGTTGCTGATAGATGAGCCCTTTCCTGCCAGGAAGTGGAATGTAATGTTGTCAGTGTATAAGGGTTTTCTCCCTCTTTTTCAAGGTTGGAAAGAGATGGCAGACCCTGAAAGCACAGTCATAAACAACAATGTGAACCAGGTAAGATATTAATGACAAAATAATTGACAATTTTAAAGGCTTTTGCCATTGTCTGATTAACGTACATGTTTAAACTGAATTAGATATCTTCTTCAACAAAATACTGTTGATAGTATTTGATAGTACCTTGGGGAAAAAACCAGACTCATTTTCTTAATATTGGCCTTGTGATCATGCTATGTCACAACAGACTATGAAACAGTTTTCTAGTTGCCCTCTTGAATAGATGGGGAGGGGGGGTTCAGCCCATGTAGGCTGAAAATCAATCCAGCCATCTGATTGACTTGTTTTGGCTGAATCAGACTAAACATTAGAGAAAATTATGGGGCCATCCAAAAGGCAAGACAACAAAACGGGAAGCTGGAGAAACACAAAGGTTTCAGTCCAGTAGGGGTCACGTTCAGGCAGGAGTGATCAAAATATAATCAGACTTCAAGGCATGTACAGTCAATATACAATGCACAGTCTAGCAGCAGAATGCAGTAGAATAGCACAGCAAAAAACGGTGGAGCTGAAGAAATGATGGTAAACAGAAGGATATGTAGTCAGAGCGTCCTGGGCTCCACCCAGGGATTGGGGACAGTGTATTATGGGCTTTCTGGCAAAAATCCTGCTCCGGAGAAGGGACTTGTTCCTCTTTTGTAATTAAGTGCTTCCTTTAAAAGGAGCTCCATTGGCCTGCTTCTTAAGGTGATGGAGCTCTCAAGGCTAGGTGGTCAGCCAGCTTCTACCTCCTGGGGGGATGGACCAGGCCCTCCTGAAAGCCAGGCTCCTCAATCTCCTGACCTGTGTGGTTCCTTGGCACTGTCTGTTTCTGGGAGTCCGAGGTCCTCCTCAGAGGAGGACCCCTCCAGTAGAGGGATGACACTGACGGGCCAGTTAGACAAACGCTTTGTTGCATGGCTGTAGCTCAGCGGCACAGCCCTTGCTTTACATTAAGAAAGTCCCAAGTTCATTCCTAGTTCAAAAGGTCTGTAACAGCAAAACTGCCTTGCCCGGGACTCTGGGAATCTACTCTGACTCAACACAAGCAGCTTTATGGGGCTTTTCACTCACGCGTATTAGCTCTTTATTTTAAATGATACCAGCTTAAGGGAATTAAACATAGGTGGGTATTAAATATCATGTAGTTAGATCAATATGATATTGAGGCACCCTTTGTCCAAGTGAATAGAACCTATAGATGTACAGGCAATCCCTTGTCACTTCATTCCATAGGTCAATGAAGACCTACTGGTTCAAAACTGAGTCTGAAACCTGGTCCAATAAGGTGACTTGTTTGTGGCAGTCAAGAGAGAATCACCACTGAACTCTCAAAATTATCTAAGTCATGAGAGTCACATGGCCTGAACAGGATGCGATTTCAGAACAATTATATCCTGTCAACTTGACTCCATGATAAGCAACTTGGTGCCTGCCAAATATTTTGGATTACAACTCTCATAAGCGCCAGCCAACATGCCGAATTAAAATGTTTACTAAGGCACCAAGTTGCCTGCTGTTGGTCTAACCCAAGGTGAGTCACTCAGTCAAGGAATAACTCTTTCCCGGAAGGCCTGAAGGCTCCTTTCTCTCTAGCAAAGGGAGGTCTGCCTGTGATTTCTTTCAGGAGATAGTAACAGAAAGAAACACTTAACCTTTCTCCTCATCATACAGCTCCTGAAATTCGGCTGCCTTCAAGTTGTAGATTTGTGCTTATGCCCTTGGGCAGAGGGTCTGGGACTAGCAGGATCTGAGTCCTCTTTTTATGCAAACCAGTGAGCGAGCCGGTTATAAGGCACTGCAACATATGCTGCTCTCTGGCCTGTTGCTGTTAAGAAACAGCCTCACTGGCCCAGCTGATTTTCTAGAAGTTCCTTCCTTTGGCAGAACACAAGAGAAGCTGTCCGCTCCAGCCCTGACCCTTAGAGCTGAGCCCTGCTCCACTCCACAGTGAATCTAATTAAAGGGATTGCCTGCCTTAAGCACAGGATTGCAAATCTTTCAGGCTGTTAGTTTTCCAAGAAGTTAGAGTTGCAGGATGGCATAAACATTCAGCACTGTAGCACCTTAAGAGCAAGAAGCATGGATTTGACTGGGGTTGGGAAGGGAAGGGATAGGATGGGCAACAGAGGAGATGCATATGCTTCGTTTCTGATTCCTTGCATTGCAGTTTCTCCTACTTGACTAAGGCTAGTTGAGTCAGCTAAATCTGCACCTTGTTCTTGGCCTTCTCCGCTTCAGAAAGATCCAAAGGAAGCTCTAGTTATTGCTGTGACGACAAGGGCTATTTTCGACCTGGAAAAGGAGCATGAGATCTTCTTGACCGAGGGCAAGGATGCGTATGTGAAGCACCAGCAAGCGAATGAAGACAACCCCTTGGAGCCAGGGACAGCCTTCGCTTTTATCCAGGTAAAAGTGCCATGAATTTTTACCTGCAGACCTTGCACCTTCCAGAGGGAATCCTCATCCCAAAGCCAGAGAATGCTGCGCTGCCGGAATAAAGTGAAGGGTGACTACAGTTGGTTTTTCACTTGCAGTGTGAATTACAGGCAGTGTGCCTTACTCCTTTTTTGCATGTAGATGGTCAAATATTGGATCGAGCCCTTCTTGCATATTGCATATTTCCTGCCAAATTTTCGAACAACCAGGACGCACATTTCCCTTTAGAATGAGGTCACTGGAGGTTCCCTGCCATAACATTTGCATTGTCTGTGCCTTATTTACAGACTTACAGCCTGAGCATAGATTGAGATTCACAGTTTGGTTTAAGTGCAGCTTAGCAAAGGGACCACACTTGGAGAGGCCGCCTTGGCCACTAGGATCGCCTCCAGCGGTCCTACAGGTTGGGCCTGTTTGTCAGGCCCCATCTTTGCAGCCCAGAACTGTTCTTCAGGACAATCTGCTCCATCTACTTTCAGTTTCATCACAGAACTGAGATCCAGGCCTTGCGTGAAGAGCATTTCCTCTTATGTTTTTCCACTACCTAACCTCTAGGTAGGTTGCACTGTGGTACAAAAAGCACATTTTCCCTGTTTTTAGAATGCCAAAAATTCAGCTGAAAAACACAAATGAAACCGAATGTCACAGTGTCATCTGAAGAACTTGTCAACTACTGCAAGTAGAGAATAAGTGCACAATAGATGCATTGTGTGAAAAAACTTGTATCATCACAAGCTAGAAGAGATTCATGGAGGACATGTAGCCCAATCTCCTAACAATATTTTAAAGAAGTTTCTGCACTCTATGCTCATACCTGACCATGTGAAAAGAAATAACAAAAAATGCACACTTTTGAAAAAGATTGCAAAACCAGTTACAGGATTTGAGAAGTGAGATGCAGTGATGTCATAGGCGCTACAGATCTGTAACAAAAACTTACTCTGAAATGCTAGAAACTTGTGGGTATGTGATTTTGTTTTATTTCCTTGTTTGGAGCTCATGCCACGACATTGACATCTGTATTTTCAAAGTAGGGAAGGTACTTTCCAGCCAGATTTACCACATTGAAAACATTATTATTATTATTTTGTTTTATTCCTATTCTTGCATTACATTTATATCCCACCTTTTTCTCTCTTGTGAGGAACCCAAGGTGGCTTACATAGCTCCATTTTATCCTCACCACAGTAACCCTGTGAGGCAGATTAGGATGAGAGTGAGTGGCTGGCCCAAAGTCACCCAGTGAGCTTCATGACCAAATGTGGACCAGAACCTGGATCTCCCAGGTCCCCAGTCCAACAGCATCAGCACCACACCAGCTCTCTGGCTGAGTCTGCGTTCATCCACGTGCCCATTGCCAGCATTCTGAGAAAACAATAGCAATGCTTTTCTACCACTTCTTTCAGGCTGTGCAGGCTGTGAACAAGAAGCTTCTTGAGAAAAACCCAGAGGAGAAGGGCCTCTTTGATGTCATTGTTCTCTCCAATAACAGTCCAGAGAGTGGTGTGCGCATCATCAACAGTGCCAAAAAATATGGTAGGTTACCTGTCCACTAGATCATTGAAGCCTTCTTTAATATTCTTACACAAACTGTCACACACACACATGCCAGAATTCAAGAACATTTGTTGTCTTTTCCTGTTGAGCATGTCTGAATTTTTGCACATTAGAGGGGTAAGTCATCCATATTTGAGAAAGAAGAAGCTAGCAGTTATGGACTGAATGGGATACAGAGCTGTCCAATCCTAAGCCAGTCGAGAAAGAAAGATGGCAATTCGTATGGAGCCAAGGGCCAGTTTATGCCTACAGAGGACCCCATGGCAGCCTTGGGAGTGCTGCTATTTACATAATTTCCGTGGATTGAAAAGCAGCTCTTGCGGTTTCACAGATCATGGCAGCCTTATGCAAAGGGACTGCCTGGAGGCACAGTGTCACAAACAGTCCCTGTGTGTGCTCCTACTTGGAGACCATCACGAAGCCCTGGCAGGAACAGTGGGAAACACCCACAGTTCACACGGTTTTTAATATAACTGTGATCAGAACATCATCAGTTGTGGACTGGATCAGTGCTGACCTGGAGGGTTACTGTCTTTCTGGAAGTAAGAAGGATGGGAATGTCCAGGTCCAGGTTTCTCACTGGGACAGGAATACAGCATGCATAGGATCCAGCAGAAAAGCAATGCCTGTATCCCGCGCCCCCCACCCCCTTGCAGCACTGGGATGGCCTTCATGCCGCCCAATGCCGAGCATGAGACCAGCGCCACATTCTGAAAATGCACAGTTACGGATGTGCTCCAAGCACAAGGAGCAATGTTGATGGCAGCCACTGCAGTCAGAGTTGTGAATCTGAGCTATTAAGACTGAGCTATTAAGCCCCATAACTATCAAGAAAAGTGTCCAGATGTCAGGAAACTTGGAGTGAAGGGAATTTTTTTCTATTTTATTTTCATAAAATGGACATGCAATACATTGGAAGGAAAGAAAAATATGTGGGAAAGGGGGATAAACAAACAGAGCATATAGTTTCAGTATCTAGCAAATTCATGAAAAGGCAAAAAATTCTCTCTGCTCTAGTGGCATTTAGGTCATTCAATTCTTGATCAAGGTTCTCGTCCAAATTAATCTAATTTATAAAACTAACTGTAGGTAATATCATTAGGAATTACAGCAAAATTCACTAACAATATTTTGAGAGAGTCTGTTTTCTTCAGCATTAGTTAATTTCCTCATAGCAAGCTTTCCATTCTGCTTTAAATAGAAGACCTGCCAAAGAATTGATCTAATAGGTTAGTTTCGCCATCGTTGCATAGCTAGCTTGTTTTCCCAGAACGGAGGGGAATCTTTGTGAGGTCCATGGCTTGGGTGGCTTTGTGTCCTGCTTTACAGAGGACAGTCCCCCGTTCTTTGCCAGGGGACAATCCTCTATCTGAAGACAGCCTCTGCTGGAAAGGCTGTCCAGTCCAAGAACAAGAGCCACAAGGAGGAGGAGTGGAGCAGGGGCTTTGAATATGCCCACCGACAGGTGGCACCTGGGCAGTTGCATTTGCTCGTTGCCCGGGTCCTTGCCTCCTGTGCAGTGATGTTTTCTAATGTAGGGGGATGTGGGGTGGAGATGCTACGGAAATATGCGAGTGGAAACATGAGACAGTTTGAAAATGCTGAAGGTGCAGTCTTTTGTTCTGAGTCATAAGGGGTAACCTAGCCACAGTTTGACTTTCAGTTGAACTTATTTCATAGACTTGTGTGGGTGAAATAGGCAACCCTGAAGCCAGATGCTAAACTGATGGGGGCAGCTGGCACCTGGAATCCAAGCAGATCTCAGTTATTATAAAATGCTTGTTAAGTTTAGGACTACTCCAAACAAGCTGCCTTTTCTCACAGAGTGGCAGAAGCACACCTGTGCACTCCTTTCAACAGTGCTTATGCTTACTAGAAATTGCATTCAATTTGCAACATGAACCTACAGGTTCTTGTACTTCTGAACCATCCATATGTGAACCAAAATGGAATTATTCTTTGAAATGTGTGCTTTTCAAAATTTTGAAATTGCATTCTCCTGTTAAAAACGTGTACAAAAAGTGGGTATATTAGGGAAAATGTGTATCATCATCATCATCATGATGCCTGTAGCTGAAGCCCATTTATTTTCAGAATGTATTAAATTAGGAAAATTGCTTGCAAAAATTTGTATACAAGGAAAATTTGCATACAAAAAAGCACACATTAGGAAAACTCAACACAGAAATGAGTTCAAATTTTCATGCAAACTTTTTGGAACATCTCAAAATTCAGAACAAGTTGAATTTAGCACAGGACAGATAAAACCAAGAAAAACAGAAATGGACAGATTCATGTATCCCTATTTATAACACTGGAGGGCTTTGACAGCATCAAAATATCTCCTAAGTGTTTCTGTTTGTCCATAGCAGAGGCTGTCGAGGCAGTTGCCCATATGCTAGATATAGGAACCACTAAGAGCCCAGAGACAGACAAGCAGTTCAGCAAGTAATTATAAGCACTGGCTTCCCCATGGCCTAAACTCTTAGGGACTGTGTAGGTCAGAGGGGATGCTGTGGTATTACTGTCCCCATTGGCTTCGAGTGCAATTATTGTGCACAAATTCACACCATTTAAATGGTGGCCACAAAATAGTCAACAGTGTCCTGGAGGAAGGGTGTAAACCCTGACCTCCCCTGAAGGAGGCATCACTAAAATTGCCCCTGCTCAGCACTCCAACTAAAAATGTTTGTGTGTATTTTTTGTCAAAAGGAGTGATAGAGTCAAGCTCTATTGGCATTTAGCTCTGTAGTGACATCTAGTGACCATTTCTAAACATTACAATTAAGGGTTCTAAGTATTACAATTCTACACAAGCAAGGATTTTCACAAGATTTTTAAAAAGAGCAGGAAGACGCACACACACACTCGCACTTCATTTCAAAGAGAATGCCCATTTGAAAAGATGTCTACACCCTAGCTAGGTAAGCAACCATATCAGGTTGTGTTCATGACCAAATCGGGGCGTGAACAGAAATTTCTAAAAAATTTTGCCTCAGGTCACGAACTCTACATTGGGTGGCGACCATGATCACGGCCGCAATCGCACCTGCCTTTCCCCAGCACACCTGCC